TAGGACCGTTAACAAGTTCGGACATTTCTCAAATGAGCGGAATAAAGAGTAAAGTAATTTCCACTTGGTGGAAGACTATACATGCACCAGCTCGTACAAATTTTAAACGCCGAAGAGTTATTATGAAGGGAATCGATGATCATTGGCAAGCAGACTTAGTAGAAATGCGACAGTACTCATCATCGAATAAAGGATATAAATTTCTATTGACAGTTATTGATACGTTTTCGAAATATGCATGGGGACAAGCATTGAAAACAAAATCTGCGAAAGAAGTTGAACGCGCATTCTCGGGTATACTTAAGGAGAATCGAATTCCAAAGAATTTACAGACCAATGATGGAAAAGAATTTTTTAATACAGACTTTAAGAGTTTGCATAGAAAACATAACATCAATCATTACACAACTATTAGTGGTCTTAAGGCGTCAATTGTTGAGCGTTTTAATAGAACGCTTAAGGAGATGATGTGGAGAGAGTTTAGTTATAATGGAACATATTGTTGGATTACAATTTATAAGCAATTGATAAATGAGTACAATCGAAAACATCATAGAACAATTCAAATGAGACCAGTTGATGTTAATTCGTTAAATGAGAACAATTTATTGAATACTGCCTACAATCGTATAAAAATCTTCAAAGGCAGTAAATTTCTTGTTGGAGATTATGTGCGTGTTAGCAAGCATAAACATACATTTGAAAATGGGTATACACCGAACTGGACAACTGAAATTTTTAAAATAAATCAAATACAAAATACCAATCCAACTACATACATACATACTGGAAGACTATCAATGTGCAGTTCTGAAAGGAGGTTTCTGTAATGAAGAGTTGGGGAAAACAAGATTTCCAAACACTTACTTGATTGAAAAGATAATAAGGCGTCGAAAAGATAGAGTTCTAGTCAAATGGCTTGGGTTCTCAAATGATCAGAACTCTTGGATAAATATTAATGAAGTTCTATAAATCGTAAGTGTGCGTACTATTAATAGATTAAAATTTCATGAACAGTATTGATTTGTGATGAACCTGTCAGTAATTTCCTTTAAACCTTCAGATCTGTGCACTAAGGTTTCGGTTAATTTAAGTATGAAACGAATGTACTCAGTGTAGGGAATTTCGGATATAAAAGAGCGTCTTGAATACAAGTATCTCATTCTAAAAGATGTCGAGGAACATTCAGGAGCTGTTTGATTTTATGGACAACGATTAGAATTCAATGGATTTCCATTTGGGGCAGCTGATGCCCTGACCGATTCCAACTAAAGTGAATCCGCAATTGACCACAGAGCTGAGTTCAACCGAATGGATTGAGCTCTTAGAAATTTCACCCACCATCGATATAACCGAAGAGGGGGAAAGGATGGAGCCCACCTTCGATGAGCTTCTTGTCGAGGAGCCCATTGCTGAGGAATGGGATATAAAGAAAATGTTCGATGCTGACGATGTTCTAGAAAATTCAGTAGAATTTTTAAACTTTATTAAAAATATTTAATAATAAATACTAAATTTAATCAATTGTATTTCATTTATTCATTTTTTTTTCGAATCATATTCTATACATACACACTATACACTTTATTTTCAGCTTCATGAATTCAAATAAAATGCATATATGTACAACCTAAGATCATGTGCTTATCATCTTCTTTTTATTCAAGTACACTGCATTTTTAAGTAGACAAACATAGGTACACAAGCACACACTTGCAACCTCAAGTCTTGTGTTTTTCTTCTTTTCTTTTTTTACAGGTACACTGCATTTCTAAATACAGGCACAAACAGATACACAAATACATATATATATATATATATATATATATTTCTTCTGGTATTTCTTCTTTTTCATATTAATACCCAACATTTTCGGCTTGCATAAATTAAAATAAAAGAGACACATGTACTTCTTTTTGGTTTGAATATTAATTTTGTTTTTTTTCTTCTTTATCTTATTTACATTTTTTTTCCACTTAATTTTACTAACATTTTTGATTGTCTGTTTATTAATTAGTTAATTATTTATTTATTTATCTTTTTTTTTTTTTTTTCTTACTACTATGAATTAATTTTATAATGCCCCCAGGCATATGTATTTATCCCATCTTCTTTTATTTTTCTCTTATCATTTTTTGATTTTTTGATGCATCCACCCCCCTCAAGAGACAATGAATACATTTTGGCTCTAAGACCAACAAACTCCAACATTCTTTTTCCACTGTTTTCGTCTTTCATCATTCCCAAAACTTTCTTATTACACCTTCTGATCCCATATTTTTTTGATAACTCCTCCGGATAGTCAGATGTATCAAATCTCATTTCTACATCTTCCGCAATGTCTTTAAAGAAATCTTTAGTCTCAATAGAATATATGAATGAGTCTGTATACATATAATTCAAAGAAACTTTTTCTTGATACTTTGGCTTCATGTAATCATAATGAAAATCATACATTTGCCATTTTGACAGTTCGAGAACTGTAAAACCTAAGTGCATAGGCTTATCATACACATTATGGAGTCGATTCATTTGAATCGCATACATATCTTCTGCAAATTGTGCTGAACTATGGAAATTGGCCTTTGCAATGAGGGCACGAGTACCCAATCTATTCCGATTAGTGGTTTCCCACGATGTGACCAGTTTGATGTCTTTACAATTTTCTACGTTTTCCATCGCTTTTGCATAGACAGCGTTATTTAATAATTTGAAAAAGTCTTTTTCAAAATTTTTTTGCTAATGTTCTGTGATATGTATTTAAGTATATATACTTGTTAAGCCAGGGAGACTGCTTAAACTCCAAAATTTTGTGTATTTTTGTTAATACTAAGCCATTTCTAAGACATTGCTGAAGACATTCTCTAATGGATATGATACTTTATTTTTGACCTAAGGCCAGCAACAAGTTTTTAAACTTTAGCCTCCGGAGTAGGCTTTTGGTTTGATGGGCAAAAAGGTAGATCATTATGGTAATCGTGAAGAGAGTCTGGATACAAAGTCTTGAACCTATACATATTAATGTCAGTTAATAATTCTATTTCTATTTTTGTTGTTTTTAACATTGCATCCCATGAGAGACCTGGTGTAGTGTAATTGTGGGCGGGATCTAATGAATATATTTTTTTGCAAATTGCACGAAAATTTTGAAAGACATCCGACAGTAAAAGAACATCAGTCTTAAGATACAATTCCATGTAATCTTAAAGACTTTGACATCCAAAAACTGACCAGACTTTTTGTGCATGGGAAAAGTCTTCGACTGAATATTCTGTGTTTGTCAAAGTGTTGAAGAATTTATCTCTGGGGGGAAGAGCTGACTCATCTAATCTGCTCTCTGAGTCAATATACTCATAAGGAAATACCCCCTTCCTACGTATTAGATGATATGCATCATCTAATGGGAAAAAGGATTTTACGTTAGTGAAGCTGGCTATATCTAGATTGCTACTAAGTGCATCGAGACTTGATGCCATGAAACGGAACGTATCTAAGAATCTAATTTCAAGGTTTTTATCATGGGATGCAATATGAATATATTTTGAGAGTGAAATGTACAACTCCTTATTAAGGGGGAGTACTTTTATATCACCTTCAACTTTATTTAATTCCCTAACGAACAAATGAGAATCATATTTGGAAAAGTTGTAAAAAAATACAGGAACAAATGGTGCAATTTGAAAATTAATGTTGCATGTATTATGCACTGCACCCCTATACAACCCAGTTAAATGGCAATGATCCCTAACTCGATCATTGCCTAGAGTTGTTTCACAGATGTGACAAATGGCTGCATTTTGAAAACTAAACTCATTATCTGCACTCATATTTATTGGTGTTATTGTGCTTAGATAGCAGGTATAAATATCGTTTACATCTCTGATAAGAGACTTGACGAATTTTATACCTGCATCTTCACCAGTTTCTAAAACAAGCTTATCTAACGTTGGATTAAAGGCGCACTTTATATAGTACGAATAAGCTATGGGGATATGTTGAGAAGTTGCTATTACATTCTCACTCAGTTGCGAATTGAGGGGGGTGAGTATACACTCAAAATCTGCGTATACAACAAAAGGTACGTCTAAACTACGACTAAAATTCTTAAAACTTAGACTTGCGTTTTCTTCCGATGGGAGCATTGCCACAACCTTGCCGCACTGCTGACGGTGCTCTGCATGTATCCACTCATTATGTGAGTAATTTAAGCACGTCTTGCAGAAGTATAGCTGTGACTTGTGTGATGTAAGTTGGCGTCTTACAAGTCTGGAAGTATAAAAAACAAATATATATGTTTTAGAAAATATTTTTTTTTTTTTAGCAAAGAGTATTTATTTAAATATTACCTTGACAAATTTTTTATCCTCACAAAATGTCCGCGCTCCTCGGTCTCCAGCAAAATTAGACTCACAAATAAAGGCCCGTTGACTGTATTTGTCTGCTCATCGAAACCAAAAACATTGATGCCAATGCTTTGGTTTTGAGCTTCAAAAATTGTTATCTGATCCAACGGTAGTGGGAAATCCAAATTCGAAAAATTGAGTGTGAGCGCTTCATCAATTTTTATCAAGTCGCTCTCAATCCCATCAACTTTGTACGCTGAGCATCGTGCAGGCTGGTCATTTACTGGTGTTTTAAGGGCTGATATTAATTCCCATTTAAAGCAAAATGCATCAGCATTTTTAACATTAATTAATGCTTTTTTATTCATCAACACTTTAGGCGTTTCAATAAAGCTTGAATTTTGAAAAAGTCCTTTTTGAAATTATTTTTTGCTAATGCTATATGGTAAGTATTTAAATCTATTTACTTTTTTAACCAAGAAAACTATAAATTCTAAAATTTTATGTATGTTTGTTAATTTTAAACCATTTCTTAAAAAGTGCTGAAAATTTCTATAATGAACGGGAAACTTAATTTTAGGCATTAAGTCTGCAACAATAATTTCTAATACATGAATACCAATTTGAATAAACCTATACTTATTAATGTTCGTTAACAACTTCAGTTCTATATTAGTTGATTTCAACATCGCATTCCAAGAGAGACCGAGTGTGGTATAATATTGGGCGGAGTTTAATGAATAAAGTTTTAGTGGGATTTACACCCAGTCCGCATTCTATCGTCCATGATTTTTAGTTTACTTGTCATAAGGTCACATAGAGTTTGAGGGTACTTTCCTTTGAAGATGACCGCGACATCATCCGCATATGCAACAATCTGGCAGCCGTCCCACTAGTCTTGAGTCAATTCCCATGTCCAGCAGAGCTCCAGTTATTGCCTCTGGGAGGATATTATTGAAGGCACCTTCAATGTCTAGGAAAGCTATTAGGGTGCCCTCTTTTAGAACAAAGATGTATCTGTTGACAGCTCTGTTCCATAAGAGAAGTGCCAGGATGCCTCCTTGGGCCGTGTCTCTGAAGTACCTGGTGAGTGTTCACGATCCATGTGTGGACTTCACGACCCTGCAAGTGAGCAATTAATTGATCAGTCCCACTAGTCTGGAGTCATTTTCCAGGTCCACCAGAGCTCCAGTTATGGCCTCTGATATTATTGAAGTCACCTTCAATGTCTATGAAAGCTATTAGAGTGTACTCTTTATAGAGCAAAGATGTATCTGTAGATCTACCCTTCTTGTATGCATGTTGTGGTTCAGAGATAAGCTTTGAGTCTATGGAGTTTGTGAGTTTGATACTTATAAGTCGTTCTAGAATTTTTGACATGAAGGATGATAGACTGATGGTTCTAAAATCCTTGGCACTGGTGTGTGAGGGTCTCAGCTTGGGTATAAAGGTGATTAATGACTAGAGCCACATCGGTGGAATTTTGCCAGTCTTGAGAATTTTTTTTTTCGAAAATTTGGTGGAGCCAGTATATGGCTGTTTTGCCCACCTTTTTTAATTGGGCCGGGCTTTTTTTATCGGGGCCTGGAGATTTAAACGGCATGAAGCTGTTTATAGCCCATCTTATGTTTTCTTTATGTAGAAAAGATTTTATTTCTGTAATATTTTCACCAGTACTTTACGTGCAGGCATCGAAGGCAGCTCGGAGCAACCTGGGAAGTGTGTTTTTAGGAGCATGTCCAGTGACTCTTCATTGGCGACCAACCTTGATTGGTCATCTTTCATTAGATAACATAGTGTAGGGGTGGTTTTCGAAAGAAAAATCTCTCCACGATTTCTTATTTGATTGCTTAGTGGCTTTTTTGTATTCCGGCTGACTAGAACTGTACTGAGACCATCGAAGATCGATATTGTGCGATTTCGCAGTATTGAAGAGAAACCTTCGACCTTTGTCGAAGAGCACGATGTTGAGGTGTCCATCATGGAGGTTTTTCCTTAGGCTTGGATTTGCTGATTGGGCAGGCTGCCTTAAGGGCGCAATTGCATGCCCTCGTGAAGGTATCTGTAAGGCTACAGAGATGCTCGAAAGTGTTTAGGCCCTCTGGAAGGTGATACGAGAGAGTACGATTTAATTTTATTTTGAAGATTTCCCAAATTGCATTCTATTGGCTTAAGAAGCTTACTGGCTCTGGGTGGCCTAATAAAGACCCAAATTTGATGTACTTGTGATCAGAGAAGAAGTGATACTCGGACACTTAAAGTATATGAGGCAAGGGTCATTATGATTTTTGATGATAAAGATGGGGTCATTTTCCCTGTTACAGACTATAAGAATAGTATAATATGAAGGTTAAGAGTAACTCACCCCTCAAGTTCGTATCCGCGCTACTCCACTGGAAGTGGTGAGCAATGGAACCGCAGCTTATGATGAGGCTAATTTTCTGCTTCTCATCCGTTGCTGGTCCCGTGCAATCATGGGCCATATATGTTGATAGTAGTCGAATCGGAGCTAGCTGGAGCTCCAGGTTTCATGCTGTGTTGTCTCTGTTGCTAAAATGAAGCAGAAAAATACTAAGATGTTTTTTTCGCCAGAATGCAGGTTCGTATTTAACCTTCAGATAGAGCTACAATGAGCTGATAGTTGTCGCTACCTAACTGTGAAACTTTGTTTCAAACCACCCAGGGTTCTTGGATTAGGACTACATCTTCTCCGCCGACAGCCAGGCGGAGCATAAGGGCGGCCGACGCTGCTTTACAGTCTTCGTTAATCTTCGCTAGATAGCGAAAACTCGTCTAGTCCGCGGCACATGACCGTCGTCGGGTATTTCGATCTCCGCGTAAGGGATCCTGCTCGACTGGCTTGTCGGCAGAGTCCCCTCTGGCCGTCGCATCCGATTTGTACACCATGACGGTGACAGAGCTGAAGTTAAAATGAAGCTAACCCTTGGCGGCCTCAATCGGTGCAAGTGATTCTTTGTTAAGAATCACCACCGCTTGATTCACTTGCCTTGCGTGGCCTCAATCAGACCTCGCCTATGCCCGCTACGGCAGCATTGTAAAGCTCCACTAAGCGGTCGTCTTCACAGGAAATTACTTTTGTGGTACCAAACGACATCTTTACATGAAGGTGGTTGTCCGGGCTCTTTTCAAAGCTCCTTCCATCTTCTTCCATACCCCCTATACGACCCCTATAAGGATCCTCTTTTGCACCTTTGTCCTCTTGGCCGCAGGTCCAGGCACTTCCTGGGTGCGCTGGCTTTGCTCTTAGTTAGGCGGTGCTTCATTATAGTTCGGAAGTACCTTTTTTGCCCATGCCACCTTGTTTAGCCATTCGGCTGGTGGATTGGCAACTGTGTGCACGTTATGTCACTTCAGAATACTAGCTGTATTCCTTCGCTCTGCGTACGTGAAACGAAACTCACCTTTCACACTTGGTGTGGCAGGGTTCTTGCCAGCCCCACTACCACTGGCGAGGCAAGGCAGCTCTATAACCTCTTTTACCTGGGTTGCGCTTTGGTCAGGCATTAAAGGCACTGCTTCCGCTATATTTTTGGGATTCATCCCTTCCAGATTTGGGCGAGTGCCGGTCTCATTCGACTGTTTTATTTGTTTTTTTTTTTTTTTTTTGATACATAATGTTCCCACGAGCTGCAGAGAAAGGAGGTCCACCTGCACAGACCGCCAAGTATCTGATATGCTCCGTGAGTGACTGCGCTTTTTTCGGGCCCAAAGCCAAGCTGACTTTCGGCACGGGTCGTTTAACACCTTAGTCCAACCCGTTACCTTTTTGCAGTCCGCCCTCCGGAGCAGAGCATCCCTCCCTCATCACCAAGTGTTACAGTGCAGTGCCTCGCCGAGTCAGCCCTAACCCCCCTTTTGAGCTATTCATGTGGTTTGGAAAATAAAACCAAATAAAATGAAGAACTAACATTTTTTTTTTTAGATTAAATATAAAAACAAATGTTAAGCCAATATTAGACACAAGGTGTCAAGTATGTAGAATTAAAAACTTTTTTTAAAAATAAGTTTATTCTGGTTGGTGTTATTGCCAATAATTAAAATTTGTGACACAAATAGTGCCTAAAGTATAATTAATTTAATTTTTCTGCTACATTTTTTTTCTTGTACAAATATTAAAAATCGTATTGATATATTTTGAATAAATATATATATATATATATATATAAGTATATATATATATATATATATATATATATATATATATATATATAAAAGTGAATTAAAATAAGTTGCACACGTAAAGAAAAATTTAAGTGTACCTGCATGGTGGAAGGTATTTCATGGGGTTAACCAAAAACTAGAAAAAAGCAAGGAGCAAGAATCACACAAAAACAAACTTCTACAGATCAACCTCCACCACTGTAAAGCAGTCTCTGCTGCCCTCATGCTCCACCTGTTTCAAGGCGGAGTCGATATTGCACTGGTTTAAGAACCTTATATAGCCGGAGGCAGTATTCAGTATTTTTCAACGGCTACAACACCGCAGTAATCCTGGAGCTACAGCCAGTTCCAATAAGGCTATTATCAGCATACATGGCGCACGTCAGCCTTGGATCACCACCAGACGAGATCGTTAAATCTCTCGTCGCAGAATGCAAAAAGCAAAAATCGGCCTAATCATGGGCTGTGATGCCAAATTATACCGATAGAAATCGGAGAGTTGAGTCACTCTTAGCATTAATCCTTAATACTAATCTTTTGATCTGTAAATTGGGAAATTATCCCACTTTTATTATTAAAAATCGTAGAGAGTTTATAGACCCAACCCTCGTGTCACATACCATTACCGTTCAGTTAAGAGGGTGGAGAGTCTCCGCTTCCTTCTCGGATCACAGATATGTTGAGAATGAGCTTTTTCGAAGCTCCAAAACCAGTCCACTTCTTGAATCAAAAGAAGGCCAACTGGGATACTTATAAAAGTAAACAATATCGAATCCTGTCGGAACATCACCCGACGGGCACAGATTATCTAAAGCATCTGTGCGGAAGTCAGCCTGTCCCATTAGCAGGCCCACGCCATGACTAGGCGCTCTTCGCTAAAATTGTAAGTCCATCTTCAATGCAGCGCAATCGCAGAATGATGACCTTCACTGGTCTCAATACCAGTCTAGTCTGGCAGAATATAAAAAAGCCACCAGACGGGCTAAGAGGAGGTAATAGAGATATTTCTGCTCGAAGATAAAATCTACCTTAACATACAGCTATCCTTTAGCCCTCCGAGACACTGCAATATCTTTCAGGCAGAGGTTATAACCATAAAAAAAACTTAATTGCCTAAAAAGGTCAAAAATTAGTTCTTGCAACGTTAATATATATATTGATAGCCAAGCGGCAATCAAATCTATCAGCACAATATCGTCAAACTCAATGTCGCAAGTCTCTACACGAGATGGCAAATCAGCTGATGAGCTAGCCAGGAAAGGCACTTTTTACCCCTCCTCCCTGACAAGGAAGGTATATGTATGTCTGGCTACCTGAAAGCTCATGAAATGACAAATGGCTAAATGCCTACTGGCTAAGTTTAAATAGTAAACTGTGAGATTAAGTCGCACAAATTGCTCTATAGTAATGCGTGCAATAACAAGCCACTGGTTAGTGTGTGTCCATACCGATATACTTCAAGCACCCTACAATGATTTCTGCAGTAGCTGTAGAGACGAAGATGAGATAGAATCTCCGGAACATCTTCTATGCTTCTGTCCTGCAGTTGCATGGAAATGAAGCGCCATACTAGGAAGTTACTTCTTATGAAGCCTAACACAGTTTGCAGATAAGGGACCAGCCAGAATTCTGAAATCCATAACTACAACTGATTCGTCTACTCTCTGATTCATGCTCACATGATTACATTAGAAAGACAGTGAGATCCATACGGTATCTCAACGGGTCAAAAATGGTCTAAGTGTGTCGACCTTGGTCGGCAACCGTTAAACCTAGCCTAACCTAATAAAAGTATTGTTTCAAAATATTACCTTGACAAATTCTTCATTCACACGAAATATTGTCGCTTATCAGTCTCCAATAGCATAAAGCTTCTATGCCTTTCCCGTTCCAACTCCGTACAGTGGGCCGATAACTGCATCTGTGTCCTCCTTGAAACCGAAACCATTGATGCTGATGTTTTGGTTTTATGCTACAAAAACTGTTATTTGATCAAGATGTAGAGTAAAATCAAAATTTTTGAAGTTGGGGGTGGGAGTTATATTAATTCTTATTAATGGCATCAACTTTACAAGAGGAGCATCTAGCCTACTGATTATGGGACGGTCTTCTTAGGGCTGAGATTAAAGTATATTTAAAACAAAATGCATCACCATTTCTCTTGGCACTTTTAGCGTTTTAATGTGATATATATTTGTTTATATTCATCTCTAAACTTTATATCTATGAGATAGCTGTCCTTCTCCTGGAATATATCAATTATTCCAAAAATAATGCTGAGAGAATTTTGAAGATCTGTTCTAGATCGCTTGACGCTGATATGATATGTTATATTTTACTGATGCGATTTATTGAGCTGCTTCACTCAGAAACTCTTGTGGTTCCACTAAGTTTTTATTCTTATTCTCAAATGAGAATGTTGGAATCCGGTTTCAAATCGCTCAAAATCTGTTTTACTTGGGTATTTAAAGGTGTCTTATGACAATTGGAGCGAAGATGTGCGCACCATTTTGATGGAGCAATTTGGTAGCGATGAAGCTCATCTTGCTGTTGTTGGTAGAGTTGGTTTTTGGTGGTGATGGGATTGATGATGGAGTTGGTGTTGGTTGTGGTGGCGATAGAATTGTTGCTCATGTTGATGCTCTTATTGATGGAGTTGGCAATGACGCTATTTAATCAGTTTACATGAACCATATAGGTGAAATTATCGAAATAATTGGGATGGCTCTGTCTTTAAGCCGAGTTATTCCAGGCGATGTAATTCAAACTCAAGATGGAGTTGTCAGAGTTATTGTTGAGGAAGAAATGAATTTTTTTTAACTTTGTGAATTTAAAACATAGGAGTTGACGTTGCTGAGTTCGACAGATACTCATTTTTTTTTTAGAAATAAAAATCTAAAAACTTATGTATAAAGCCCAGAAACATACATATCAAAGCAGACTATTATTTCAAATTATTTTGCAATTATCATAAAGGGGGTCACTCGAACAGAGTGCGCTGGGAAAAAGGAGTGGAATCAAACATACAAAGAAGGTACCAGCACGTAGAAAACGTACATGCGTAGTACCTACTTAACAGCATTTTACATTTGGTTTACTTCTTCATCACAAGTTAAAATTCGATAGTCGTATTAAATTCACTATCAACGAAGCATTTCAAGTTATTGGATGTATGTATTGGATGGTCAAATCAATTTGATGATCCTTATACGACAAAGATACTATTCACTTCTCTTGTACGTTCAATTCTGGAATATGGATCTTGTGTGTGGTCTCCATAAAATCATATTCATCAAAGAGATTTGGAATCTGTGTATTGCCCCCATGCACCAATAGACTGCTTCTTATTAACCTTCCCTCCTTAACTAATAGTCGTGTTATGCTAGGTATGATGTTTGTAGTTAAATTACTAAATGGTTAAATCGATTCAGCTGCGTTGATAAGCCAAATTAATTTTTGTGCTCCCTTTCGACCGTCTCGTTAATTATTCCTTGCATGAACCGTCTCGAGTACAATTCACAATTTTAAACGTTTTATCTCGTGAATACCTAATAATAATAACTAATTCATACTAATTATTTGTTTGAACTGATTCGGTTTTTTCTGAGTTTTCCCCAATTCATGCAACAAATTTTGGACGATTTTTCATTTTAACACCCACAGAAATCTTATAATTATTCTTTATTTTTATACTTTGATACCGAAGGTATCATGATATATTAGTATTGTGCAATGTCCGCAATGCTGTCTGTCCGTCCGTCCCTCCGTATGAACGATACTTTTTTCCAGACCCTTACAGATGGAGACTTAAAACTTGGAACATACATTGGTCTATGATCGCATGAAGCTAAGTGTAAGAATTGGAGCGCTACGTCCACTAGGGGCTAGGAAGT